ATAAAAGCATATGAAAGAATAATAAAGAACATGAAAGCATATGAAAGGATAATAAAGAATATGAAAGCATATGAAAGGATAATAAAGAATATGAAAGCATATGAAAGAATAATAAAGAATATAAAAAGCATATGAAAGGATAATAAAGAATATAAAAGCATATGAAAGGATAATAAAGAATATGAAAGCATATGAAAGGATAATAAAGAATATGAAAGAATATGAAAGGATAATAAAGAATATGAAAGCATATAAAAGGATAATAAAGAATATAAAAGCATATTAAAGGATAATAAAGAATATAAAAATCATATGAAAGGATAATAAAGAATATAAAAGCATATGAAAGGATAATAAATAATATGAAAGCATATGAAAGGATAATAAAGAATAAAAAGCATATGAAAGAATAATAAAGAATATGAAAGCATATGAAAGGATAATAAAGAATATGAAAGGACATAGAAAGATTAGGAAAAATATGAAATGTTAAAAAGATAGAAAGTATATAAAAGTATATGAAAGAATAATAAAATATATTATCCTTCATCCCTACACTACAGTAGCCCCTCCCCCCTTCCTTACACCACTGTACAACTAACTTTCAAACTTTCCTCATTAAGATCTTTTCTCAGCTTTGAAATTAAATTATTTTAATTCATTTAAACTTCTCGCATTGATGTGTGTAAATTTAATAAGGGAGTATAACCTGTGTACATTTTAGATTTGGGACCAAGTTTAATGAATAGCAAGAAAAAGTTGAACTAAGTAGACTAAGTTGAACCCATTCTCTAGTGCAGCAGTTCAAGTTCAAGAGAAGTGGCTCAACTACGAAGTTGATGTGAACCGTCTTCTCACAAAAAAAAAATCTCACATAGAAAAAAAAGAACTAGTTTTCATCTTCCATGAATTTAAATAATATTTAGTTATAGATTGAAGCCGATCAAATGAACTGATTGCTCGCCACAAATTTTTATTTTCAAATACGTATTTTTTTGCAACTTTTGATATTTCAAACTTTTACTTTTTGAAATCAAGTTTTGTAACATCAGGTTAAGAAGATATAGGGATTACAAACGAGTTATCAGTTCCTTTAGATAGTCTGTATATAATGTTTAATGGAGATATAGTAATATGTTTAGAATAATTCTCTATAACTTTAATAATAAAAAGTTCTCGACTCAGGTTGAGGTTGCCAACCTTTTATGCTTAATTCTAAACTTCTGATTTATGGAAGGAGGTAGGGGGGGGGATGATGTTATAACCCCCCTCTTTGCTAAGAAAAAGAAAAAGTAGATATGCATAAATATATTTATTATGTATATTAGTATATAAATAATAATTCTAATTCTATAACGGTGAAAAATAGATAACAGGGGAGCGTTTCTTGCCTTCTTTCTATCTTTAAATCATGAAATGTTGCTGTTGTATATACCCTACTCCATAAACTGCTCTGGAACCCGTATCTATCCAGATATATACAATTCTGTTTAGCTTAGCTATCAATGTTAAACACGGACACAATCTCGTCCGCTATCAATGTCAAACAGGACACAAGCTCGTTATCAATCAACGCCAAACCAATGGGCCTGATAAGCTATCAATGTCTGTACGGACACAAGCACATAATCGATCAACGCCAAACCAATTGGCGCGATCAGCTATCAATGTCTTTCCACGGACACAAGCACGTAATCGATCAATGCCAAACCAATGGGCACAATTTCTTTAGAACAAGACCACAATTACTCTCTCGCAGTAATCAAAGCGGAGTCTCTATATCAATGAATTTGAGGGTTATATGTTACAAGTTAAAGTTAATAGACGTAATTACAAATTCTACATCGTCATCTATGTCACATGATTAAGATAATCATGTTACATATTTACAGAATAGTTAAAATAGGCGCAATTAAGATGTACGTCTTTATATATCACATGATATAGCTAATCATGCTACAAGTGTGGTTCAAATGAATAAAGGGTTTCACGTTAAAGTTTACAAACGTAGATAGTTAAAAACGTACAACGTAGTTCAGATTCACAGAATATCGTGTTACCCGATATTTATTACAGCTGCTACGTTTCTGAAATTCTTAACTGATTTACAACTGAAGAAATTTCCTGCGATGTATTATTTAAAATAATTTACAAGAAAGAGCAGAGACACCAATCAGTAAATTGTTGTCTGGTCAGCACTGTATAAGACAACCAAACAATATTTGAACATATATAAATATATAAGGAAAGAAATATAGATGAATATAGCTAAGCAAGCCAAGACCTGGAATTGAATTTTCTCCTCTACGCTCAGATTCAAATTAAGATTAAGTGCAAATATACATATAGATATATATAGATAGATAGAAAGATAGACAAATAGATACAGATAGGTATGTATACACTATACATATATAAATAAATATAAATATGTACACTCACGAGGCTTCCATGGGCCATCGCATCCACGATTTACCTTTTAATTCTTGCTTTGTTATAGTTTTTTTTCGTGGATTTTGAAAAAATCTAAATTTTTTAAGTTTTAATCATCCATAAATCTTCCCTGGGATCCTTTGAGGTCCCAAAAAAAACTTGGGCCGGATTGGTTTAGCCGTTTCGACGTTTATCGGTCACAAACGTAAACAAACATCCAGACAAGCAAAGTATATATAGAAGAAAGATATATTTTCATTATATACAGGGTGTCCCAAGAAACATGATTCTTGAAATAATGATTACAATATTTCCCTAGTCCTGCCATTCCAAAATTTGATTGGTCTTTTTCGTGTTTTTCTTCGGATTTCATTTTTTTTGATAAACCCAAGATTGTCGAAATCTGAACAAAATTCTTAATATCTCTGATAATTTTGAAATGATAAAAAGACTACATTTTGGAATTTTCAAAATTAGCGATATTTTGCAAGCAGTCTACTACAGTTAAACCCTAAATAAGCCATACATGAAAGTATTTATCAAATGTCGCCTTGGCAAATTTTCAATGGGTTTTTTACTATTTCTCAGTATTTGCGAAAATAAATAGAGTATGCGGGGACAGTTTTAAAGAGCTCCATATAATCATTTCATTAAAAACTAAATATCTGCAACATTCCATTATCTGAAAGTGAAGAATACGGCATTTGATTAATTCTTTCGATGTTTGGCTTATTTAGGGTTTAACTGTAGTAAAATTGGTTTACGAATAAATTCCACAAATTATTTAAAAGATCAAATATATCCTTTAAGTCATCTCTAAATTGCCATGTTTCGTGCAGGACACCCTAGCTGTATATAATATATATTGGAAAAAATGAGATTAGCTTTAATTTACACAACACTTTTTTTTTTCTCCTGTTTTAGGCTAAAAAATATTAAAATTTAATTGTTTAAATGCTAAAATTAATTGGAAAATGTTAAATTTTAGGTTTGAGATTTCAATTTTAGGTATCAAACAAAAGAAAGCAAGCAAAAACAATTGTTATTTTTTTGATTCAATAAATATCGTTGAAATAAAAGACTATTTTTAAGTCGTCCCTAACTTATCATTTTCTTGGTGCACAGATTTATAAAGGTATTATCTATCCCATCATATTTTATTTTTGCTTCTTATGAAAATATTTTGCTTAACTTTAATGATTTCACAACAACGAAAATATTTTAATCTCCGTCGGAGGAGTACAAAGGGAATTGCGGGCTGAAAATTTGGTTTGGCTGTCTCCGAGAGGAGATACACGTTGAAGACGACATTTTATAGAGGTCTTAAATTAATGGTGAACAACCGTGCACTTCATCTATAAGTCATGATTTAATACTAAATTAGGTTAAACGGCAGGAGTAACTATGACCATGAAAAATAATATAGACCTGGGCAACACCGGGCACTTGTAGCTAGTACCTTTTAACATTGTGATTTGTCTGTCAAAATACCCAATATTTTCGTAAAATGTTAAGATATGAAAACTCTAGACCACATTTTGGAAAGACCGCGAATCACACAAATCTGTTTTTCACAATTAAAGTCATTCAGAAACTATTAAAGATTTTAGGGAATTTTCATGTCTTCACTCAAAGGGCGAGTACAAGAATTTTTCCAGGAAGGGGGGTGGGGGCATATTTTTTTCTTTTCGGGGGAGGGGCTCACCTTTTGGCCATTAACAAAGAGAAGGTGTTTATTGACAACTTCTCTTTGTTTCCCTGTTTATGTGCATTCATGCTGTTCGAAATTTTACTTGACCACGGGTTCCCTCTACCAATTCGCTGCGCTCTGGATGCTTTGTAGGCAAAATTGGTCTTGGGAACCCTTGGTAAAGTAAAATTTCCTTAACTTGTAAAGTAGTTGTAAAAATTATTATTCAGAAATAAAAACTACAATTTATTGATAAATAAGAAATAAAATAAAATTTGAATTAAAGTTACTTTTTAGAAATTCATACAAAAATTATTATTTCGATTTAATTCAGTAAAACATATCATGTAAATAATATGTACCGATATTGTACCGATATTGTACCGATACATAGACTCACTTTCAGGAAGAGATTATTTGTCTAGAGCTAGCATTTTTTAAACTTTAAATACAATGGTCGATATTGTTGGCTCCTCTCTACTTCTGAGATTATGCATACAAATTGCACTAAACAATATTTATCTTAATTTAAACTTGATAAATTTAGCATTTTTAAATGTTTGATTTTATTTTGAGACAATCACTGATTCAAATAATCTACCCCAAACCAAGTCTGCTCTTGTTTTACATCCCAAAATATCGTTATCGCAAACGTTTCCATACTCTTCATTATTTTTTATTTTTTGTTACTTTTAATATTGTTTAAAGGATTCTTCCAAATTTCTAAGTTTAAACTAATTGCATTTTTTTTTAAAATAAGAGGTCGATCCTTTGATTTTACGTAGGGTTACTCAATGATGAGACTTCATAGACGACTGAAAAAGAATTTATACTGTCCATTTTCTCATATTTAGGTTTTTTTTAAGATAAATTATTTGTTCCTGTCGTTTGAGATCCGGATGATCGTTCAGCCAGCTTCCACATTCACTGGCAGTCAGACCGTTTACACTTCTATATATAATGTATACTTTAAAGGGAGAGAACGTAAATATATCTATAAAATAAATTATATAAACCTGGGCAACGCCAGATATATCATATATATAATGTATACTTTAAAGGGAGAGAACGTAAATATATCTATAAAATAAATTATATAAACCAGATACGCCAGATACTCCAGTTAATAACCTGTAAGGAGAAAATGTAAAGTTTAGAGAACTAAAAAATTTAAGTAATTTAAAACTTTTTTGAGAAAATCAAAGTTGCATTGAAAATAGAACATATAATAGTTCACCAAGTCTTTGCATTTTAATTCATGTAAAAAAGCGAAAAACAAAAAACAAACATTTTACGATAAATTGATATTTATCTCATACTTATTTTGAAGATTCTGTCCTAAGATCTGGTTCAGGGGTAAAATCTAACTTTATCTTATACTTACTTTAAAGATTCTGTCCTAAAATCTGGTTCAGGAGTAAAATCTATATTTATCTTATACTTACTGCAAAGATTCTGTCCTAAGATCTGGTTCAGGGGTAAAATCTATATTTATCTTATACTTACTTTAAAGATTCTGTCCTAAGATCTGGTTCAGGAGTAAAATCAATATTTATCTTAAACTTACTGCAAAGATTCTGTCCTAAGATCTGGTTCAGGGGTAAAATCTATATTTATCTTATACTTACTTTAAAGATTCTGTCCGAAGATCTGGTTCAGGGGTAAAATCTATGTTCTCACTAAAAGAAAACAAAAGTTAAGTTTTATTTAAAAAAAAGATATTTCTTCAGAAATTTAGTGATCAATCAAAATATAAAAACTTAAACTCTCTAAAATCTAAAACAACCTGAATCCACTGAGCCATACTGTTTATATAAATATATTGTATTTGCTTTATCTCTCAATTTTAATCATTCCTTCGGAAAACTGGTTGATCCCGAAATCCACAATTCAAAAGTCTTGACTTCGGGAGTAAAGTAAACTAAAGAATTGTTAACCCTAATCAATGAGTTTCCTCCGTTGTAAGGTCGTCTTTGACCAAGATTTTCTCCGGCAGCCAAACCGAACATTTTACCTCCAATGAACAGTGTAAACAATTTTCACGTGCAGTACCCTTTCTTCAAATTTAGTTTAAAACCCTTAAAACTAGTGATTCGCATATCTTTGCAACCAATTTTCATTTCATTTCAGAAGATAAAACATTGTTTTAGCACTGTTCACTAACCGGATTATCCTTTAACACCCAGAATTAGTAAGAATATTTTCATTACACTCCCCTTTTTCAACTCAACAAGAATATTTGTAGTACCTGGCTAAAGGTTTGCAGGACATAATCCAATCAATCCAGCACATACCATCGGATACTGAACTATATATAGCAGGTACTCCATCTAAATATAATCCAATCAATCCAGCACATACCATCGGATACAGAACTATATATAGCAGGTACTCCATCTAAACATAATCCAATCAATCCAGCACATACCGTCGGATACAGAACTATATATAGCAGGTACTCCATCTAAACATTATTGCTTGTTGACTTTTAACAATTTAGATAAATACACGAGAGGGTAATTAAGGAAAAGTAAGAATTATAAAATGTAAATAATCTAATTTTTACCTCCACAACCCCAACCGAAGGCCACAGCTCCAACTTGAACCCACTAAGAATAATTTTGTTAATTTTAGTGAAATACTAGACACTGTAGACACTATATCTTAGACAATTAACACTAAAAACTTGACACAAGAAACTATAAACTAGACACTATAGACACTATATCTTAGACACTAGACACTAGAAACTAGACACTAGAAATTAGACAATAGACACTAGATACTAGACACTAGACACTAGAGACTAGACACTAGACACTAGACATTAGACATTAGACACTAGACACTAGACACTTAGCAATAGACACTAGACACTAGACAATATACACTAGACACTAGACACTAGACACTAGACACTAGACACTTGATACTAGACACTAGACCCTAGTCCTTAGACACTAGACACTAGAAACTAGACACTAGACACTAGATACTAGACACTAGACACTAGATAATAGACACTAGACACTAGATACCAGACACTAGACACTAGACACTAGTCACAAGATACTAGACACTAGATACTAGACACTAGATATAGACACTAGATACTAGACACTAGATACTAAACACTAGACACTAGACACTAGACACTAGACACTAGATACTAGACCCTAGACACTAGTCACAAGATACCAGACACTAGTCACACGATACCAGACACTAGATGCTAGACACTAGATACTAGACACTAGATACTAGACCCTAGATACTAGACACAAGAAACTAGACGCTAGATACTAGACACTAGATACTAGACACTAGATACTAGACACTAGACACTAGACACTAGATACTAGACACTAGATACTAGACACTAAATACTAGACCCAAGACACTAGTCACAAGATACCAGACACTAGACACTAGATACTAGACACTAGATACTAGACACTAGATACTAGACACTAGATACTAGACACTAGATACTGGACACTAGATACTAGACACTAGATACTAGACACTAGATACTAGACCCTAGACACTAGTCACAAGATACCAGACTCTAGAATCTAGATCTAGACTCTAGATACTAGATATTAGTCACTAGATACTAGACATTAGACATGTTTACTTACCCTGTCATTAATTCTACAGACATGAGGAGAACCTCCATCTCCTTCACAGGTATCCTCGTTCTGCCATCAAATATTTAACATTTTTATCTCTATATGTCGTTGTCGTATATATCAATACAATAAAGACGACTTTCTATCTTAATTTTTATTTCTATCAAGCTTTCAAATATCATGATTACACATAAACATGTTAGCGCAGAGATGCTGTCAATATGAGCAGCGTATCTTCGTTTACTTGTAAACTGAAATTGTTTAAAGAAAGCTTGTTAGAGATCAAACTGAACTAGAAAAGTAGTCTTCAATTATTAATATAAACGCGAACCACTGAATTAACAGGTGTGGGAACTCGTGTTAAGTATCCTTTAACTGATTTCGATATCCAATGTGGGCACTTTAAATTTGAGAATATATGCTGTATTCCTTTATTTTAGTCATTCCAGGTAGCCGGGCAAAGGGTAGGATTACTATAGAGGAATTAGATTAATCAGTAAAAAGATGGAGATAAATTCTTAATCTAGACATTCACGACACAAAAGGTCTTTTAAAGTTTTCATAAAATAATTTTTTAGATGCGTCTAAAGTATCATTACCAAAATATGAATCAGGTGAAAATTTTAATAACAACTAAATTTTGAATTTTACCGTCTAAGTTTTCGTGAAAAAATTTGCGTATTTTCATCTCAAAAAACTAAAAAAATTATTATTTTACTTAACCTTGGGGTGGCCTCGACCAATTTTGCCTACAAAACATCCCTTGCTGCGCTCTTGATGTTTTATCGGCAAAATTTGTCTTAGAAAGCCTTGGTAAAGTAAAATTTAATTAACTTTAAAGTAGTTGGAAATAATGTTGGAAATAATTATTGTATTTGCTGCACTGCACTGCACTGCACTGCACTGCACTGCACTGCACTGCACTGCATGGGAAAAGGTTTTGACACCTTCAACTTTAATGGTTGATGTAAAGGAACCTTTGAAAAAAAAAACCGGTAAACATCAAAAGCGATATTGGCAAACAATATCTGAAGAGGTTAGGGAGGGGTAATTAAGATAAGAATCTCTTTAACTATAATGGAAATTAAGATAATAATCCCTTTAAAAATAATGGAAATTAAAATAAAAATCCCTTTAACTATAATGTAATTAAAATAAGAATCCCTTTAACTATAATGGAAATTAAAATAAGAATCCCTTTAAATATAATGAAAATAAGATAAGAATCCCTTTATGTATAATGGAAATTAAGATAAGAATCCCTTTAAATATAACGGAAATTAAGATAAGAATCCCTTTAAATATAATGGAAATTAAGATAAGAATCCCTTTAACTATAATGGAAATTAAGATAAGAATCTCTTTAACTATAATGGAAATTAAGATAAGAATCCCTTTAACTATAATGGAAATTAAGATAAGAATCCCTTTAAATATAATGGAAATTAAGATAAAAATCTCTTTAACTATAATGGAAATTAAGATAAGAATCCCTTTAAATATAATGGAAATTAAGATAAAAATCTCTTTAACTATAATGGAAATTAAGGTAAGAATCCCTTTAAATATAATGGAAATTAAGATAAAAATCTCTTTAACTATAATGGAAATTAAGATAAGAATCTCTTTAACTACACAAACCTGGGTATCGCACTAATATCAACAGCGCACTGGTCTCTGCTCCTCATTACAGGTAAAGTTACTTTCCTCAAAATAAACAGATTAATAATTTGTTGTCATATCATCTGGACTTATGATCGATTGGGCTGGCGGGCCGAGCCCTGCGACTAAGACATGTTAGATGGCCGAGCGCCGCGGCTAGAATGGGCTAGGGGCCGGCGCTGCGACCACAGATCTCTAAATTATAATTGAACATTTCTGAAGAAATGTTAAAATGTTTATCTTCCTCTATTCTCGATAAAGTCCGAATACGTCTATTTTATGCAGAATTATTGGTACAACTTTGCGACCTCTGATCTCTTATGGCTTTCATTTTTCATTTTAAACACTACAATGAGAAACTCCAACTTATTGTGTTTTGAATATCAGAATTCCAAACACATTTTTCTGAACATTATTGTTCTACGAATCGTAATTGTTTCATGCGAATTGTGACTTTTTCGTCTTCTTGGATTTTATCTTTAATATTACAATACACAAGAATAGATGATAACTTACTTAAGAACATCACTGTATACAGCATTCGGATTCGTAGATTGCTGGGCATCCGCTCCCCAGCCAGTAGATATACAATCAGTCAACCTTAATCAGTAGATAAACAATCAGTCAACCTTAATCAGTAGATATACAGTCAGTCAACCTTAATCAGTAGATATACAGTCAGTCAACCTTAACCAGTAGATATTCAGTCAGTCAACCTTAACCAGTAGATATACAGTCAGTCAACCTTAATCAGTAGATAAACAATCAGTAAACCTTAATCAGTAGATATACAATCAGTCAACCTTAGTCAGTAGATATACAGTCAGTCAACCTTAGTCAGTAGAAATACAATCAGTCAACCTTAGTCAGTAGATATACAGTCAATTAACCTTAATCAGTAGATATACAATCAGTCAACCTTAACCAGTAGATATACAATCAGTCAACCTTAACCAGTAGATATACAGTCAGTCAACCTTAATCAGTAGATATACAATCAGTCAACCTTAATCAGTAGATATACAGTCAGTCAACCTTAACCAGTAGATATACAGTCAGTCAACCTTAATCAGTAGATATACAATCAGTCAACCTTAATCAGTAGATATACAATCAATTAACCTTAATCAGTAGATATACAGTCAGTCAAACTTAACCAGTAGATATACAATACGTCAACCTTAATCAGTAGATATACAATCAGTCAACCTTAATCAATAGATATACAATCAATTAACCTTAATCAGTAAATATACAATCAGTCTACCTTAATCAGTAGATATACAGTCAATCAACCTTAATCAGTAGATATACAGTCAATCAACCTTAATCAGTAGATATACAGTCAGTCAACCTTAACCAGTAGATATACAATCAGTCAACCTTAATCAGTAGATATACAATCAATTAACCTTAATCAGTAAATATAAAATCAGTCAACCTTTATCAGTAGATATACAATCAGTCAACCTTAATCAGTAGATATACAGTCAGTCAACCTTAATTAGTAGATATACAGTCAGTCAACCTTAATCAGTAGATATACAATCAGTCTACCTTAATCAGTAGATATACAGTCAGTCAACCTTAACCAGTAGATATACAGTCAGTCAACCTTAACCAGTAGATATACAATACGTCAACCTTAACCAGTAGATATACAGTCAGTCAACCTTAATCAGTAGATATACAGTCAGTCAACCTTAATTAGTAGATATACAGTCAGTCAACCTTAATCAGTAGATATACAATCAGTCAACCTTAATCAGTAGATATACAGTCAGTCAATCTTAACCAGTAGATATACAGTCATTCAACCTTAACCAGTAGATATACAATACGTCAACCTTAACCAGTAGATATACAGTCAGTCAACCTTAACCAGTAGATATACAGTCAGTCAACCTTAATCAGTAAATATACAATCAATTAACCTTAATCAGTAGATATACAGTCAGTCAACCTTAACCAGTAGATATACAATCAATTAACCTTAATCAGTAAATATACAATCAGTCAACCTTAATCAGTAGATATACAGTCAGTCAACCTTAATCAGTAGATATACAATCAATTAACCTTAATCAGTAGATATACAGTCAGTCAAACTTAATCAGTAGATAAAAAATCAGTAAACCTTAATCAGTAGATATACAATACGTCAACCTTAATCAGTAAATATACAATCAGTCTACCTTAATCAGTAGATATACAGTCAATCAACCTTAATCAGTAGATATACTGTCAATCAACCTTAATCAGTAGATATACAGTCAGTCAACCTTAACCAGTAGATATACAATCAGTCAACCTTAATCAGTAGATATACAATCAGTCAACCTTAATCAGTAGAAATACAATCCGTCAACCTTAATCAGTAGATATACAATCAGTCAACCTTAATTAGTAGATATACAGTCAGTCAACAATTGAGAAGAAAATCAACTCCTTAATTTATAAACAAACAAAAAATATGTTACCCTTCAAATCTCTCGCCAGGTGAGGGCAAGCAAACAGGTCCAATATGTTTCTGGTAGATAAAGTTAGATCTAAAGAATAAGGTTAAGAATCAGATTTTTATATTTAAATAGAACATTGGACATTAAACTTAAAAGCGATCAATATTTATGACTACTTTTCCGGCCCTGGAATGTAATATTTTAGCAATCATAACCTCAACAAAATTATTATAAATTCTATTTAAGGAAAGAGGGATTCTGAAAGAATATACACTCCGGGATTATTTCAAAATCAACCTTTTTTGGGGAGCTAATAAAGAAAAAAAAATTTAACTGTACTCTTAGAACATTTGAAAAAAAAGTTTTAATTATACTCTTAGAACAGTTTTTAAAAAATTTAATGTGCTTTAAGAGCAAAATTCATGATGTTGTTTCTAATCTGCTTCCGCTGGAGCACTTTGAGGAAAAGAGAATATTTATCATACTAATTTTAGATATATAATTCCATACTTTGTTAAGCCAATGGGTTCCCTTAAAATTTGGTTTAGCCAATTTAGCCTTTGGCCAGCATTATTGATATATAATTATAGATATATAATTGTAGATATATAATTATAGATATATAGTTTTAGATATATAATTATAGATATATAATTTCTTCATAAATCGTTAAGTCTGAACATTTTGTTTTGTGAATCTGAGAATCAATTGATTATTGATCAATTGATCATTGATCAATTGATCATTGATCAATTGATCAATACATGAAATGAAAGGATTAAGCATTGTTCCTATCTATTTTAAAAATTCCCATATTAGATATCGTGATGCACACTACACACTAAAGTTACGACTTCTAAGGCCGCGATTTAAAAAAATTCGGGAAAATACGGCTCAGGGTTAAGCTGAGCCTTATTTACAGTTTGAGCTTTCGGATTCAAGCATGCATCTTATTTTCCACCGAGTTGAGTTAAAAAAAACTGGTTTAATATTCTATTTGGCGGATTTTCATGGTAGGAATTGACGCATTCCGGGTTTTTATGAGAACAAGACTCAACATTGAGCCTTAAGACCAACCAAGGTCGGTTTTATTTTCATTGGGCCAAACTCCTTAAGTCGAACCTAAGATCTTGCAGCTGTCAATTACGTGACACAAGCGGTTGTCAGAGTTGGGTCGAAGATTGGGTCTTAAAGTCGGGTTTAAGTAATTACTGCTCGAGCCGAAGTTTTTAAATCGCGGGCTCAGAAAGAATAGTTTGAAATTTTTACGAAAAATAAGAATACTTACTCTGTTTCTAGTATTGCCAGGTTGTTAAATATATTCTTTTTATCATAATCTGGATGCAGATGAACACTCAATACTCGACTTTCCTACAAGAAAATGTAAATCAGAATAAAAGTCGTCGTTATTTTATCTTTACTTAATCTTTGAGATTATTTTAGATAATAGTGCTTCTTTAAGCAACAAATTATGTCCTTACTGACCTTACTTTGTATTTAAAATAACTTTCATTCCACTTCTTCCTGGTTATAACTTTGTATTTAAAATAACTTTCATTCCACTTCTTGCTGGTTATTACTTTGTATTTAAAATGACTATCATTCCGCTTCTTGCTTGTTATTACTTTGTATTCAAAATAACTTTCATTCCACTCCTTGCTGGTTACTACTTTGTATTTAAAATGTCTATCATTTCACTTCTTGCTGGTTATTACTTTGTATTTAAAATGATTATCATTCCACTTCTTACTGGTTATTACTTTGTATTTAAAATGACTATCATTCCGCTTCTTGCTGGTTATTACGTTGTATTTAAAGAGCTTTCATTCCACTTCTGGCTGGTTATTACATTGTATTTAAAGAATTTTCATTCCACTTCTTGCTGGTTATTACTTTGTATTTAAAATAACTTTCATTCCACTTCTTGCTGGTTATTACTTTGTATTTAAAATAACTTTCATTCCACTTCTTTCTGGTTATTACTTTGTGATTAAAATAACTTTCATTCCATTTCTTGCTTGTTATTACTTTGTATTTAAAATAACTTTCATTCCACTTCATGATGGTTATTACTCTGTATTTAAAAAATGGATGGTTAAATTTTAATCTGTAGTTATAGAATTATGAAGTTAGAATTCATTTCACTAGATACTGAATTAAGATTTTAGAAAAGCTTTGTATAAGTAATCTCTAAAAAATATTAATCTTTTAGGGTAAAAAAGAAAGTAAACCTGACTTTGAAGAAATTCTGTAGTTAGTTTAACGTCATGTTCTCCACACCTAATAATAATTAAAAAGATTTAGCTAAGGTTATGTATAAGCTTAGATACTCTGGATGGGCTCAAATGTATGTAAATGTCATCTTTATTGCAATGGACACTCGAAATCCTCATATAACGTCACTGATACTTTACTAATAATCATAACATTTGACAAATATATTGAGTGTGCTAACAAGCTAAAAAATGCAATTTTAATTCAAGACTTAGTTTAATCTATTATTCTTTAAAATACGCAGTGACGTCAGATGAGGAGTCTCCATTGCTATAAAGGTCGTCTTTACATACGTGTTGGAGCGCATCCAGAGTATCTACTATACTATACAGCCTTGGATTCAGCACAATAATATATTTGTTATTGTATCTGACAATGTCCATGATATCTTCTTAAGTCTATACATGGTTACTCACAAAGGATAAGACATTAGAGACGACATTTTATTCAGAGTTTAAACAAGTTTTTACCTAACATAGATATCAGGGCTAAACACAATATCTTCATCAACTTTAGAGGTCTAAAAATATTTTATTAAAGATTAAAATTAAACCGTAAACTGAACAATTGTGTCAGTAATAGGTAAATGAAGCTTCTGAGTGGAGCTAGAAAAAAAGGGGGGTAGAGGAGCTTAATGCATGGCAAATTCATAAAATCTATAAAGTGATATTAGAGTGAAGGCTAAATGTTTTGAATCGGCCCTATTTCTACAGTAATTTTATCAATTACTAATATTCTAAAGATGTAAGATAAATTACATACCTTAACAAGAAACTTGTGCGCCACAGTCAGAACTTTATTCCTTGCAATCAAGGAAGCGCCACCTACAAAATAAAAGTTTGTTTATTAATGCAGCGCCACCTTTACAATAAGAATGGTTTATTATGGGAGCGCCACCGATACAGTAATAGGTTGGCAGTGAGGCGCCACCTAGACAATAAAGAATTGTTTATGAATGAGGCTCCATATATTCAATAAAGAATGGTTTATCAAAGAAGTACAACTATAGTATCAATACAAACAATAGAGAATGGTTAATAAGTGGAGCGCCACCTATACAATAAATGATGGTTTATCAATGAAGGGCCACCTATACAATAAATAATGATTTATCAATGAAGCACCACCTATACAATAAATGATGGTTTATCAATGAAGCGTCACCGACCTACTGCAACATCGGACATACGCCAGCTGTTTATTTTTATATCATTTGATGGTTAGGTTAGGTTAAGACAATTTCTGGGCCGAGCGCTGCGGCTCGGACAAGCTAGGGGGCCGAGCGCCGCGGCTAGGACAGGCTAGAGGGCCGGGCGCTGCGGCCACAAGTCCATATCGCAGCTGTAAAACCAAGTGCTAGTAGGTCGGATGTGTTGTATACCGGATTTGGCGTAGTCAGAAGTGGAGTATAGCGGATATGTGTAGGTCGAAAAATACACCACCGTTAGCGCCACTTCCAAAAATGTTGCGCCACTTCTGCAATGATTAGTCGATTCTAACATTACCTACGTATGTGTTGATTCCATTCGCTTTCCTATAAAACAATTCAATCAGTCAATTTTCTCAATTTTTCCAGATGATCTTAATTAGTTGTTGGGACATTTCTGTCTATGTCCTGTCTATGAAATATTTCATAGAAAGATGGACATACATAGTCCTGTCTGAGAAATGTCCTGTCTGTGAAATGTCCTATCTCATGAAATATGCAATATCTATGCAATTTCATATCTTGAAATTTCCCATCTATAATTTTGTTATCTTTGAAATGTCAATTTATATGAAATGTCTCAACACCCATTTATCAAAACGCAAAAAATAAAAGTAAATGATCAAAATAATGCGAGATTGTTGATATGAATTGTGTTCCTGTAAACTATACACATGTGAGGGAACTCTCCAGGTTGGGCTAAATACTTTTCAGATCCCTACAATTCAAATAGATGGGTATTAATTAGAAAGACAATAAAATTTATAAAAGCTAAGCTTTCAGGACGCTTCGCGCCCATCTTCTATTTCAATTGTGAACATTTTCTCTTTGTATACACTGTAAAACAACAATTAAAACAAAAGTTTGCGGATTTAAAAAAAGTCGTGGATTTTCAAAATTTTCAAAAATCGAATTTTGTTGAAGGCTAATTTTTGAAATTTTGTTCATTCATAAACCTTCCGTGGGACCATGTTAAGTCCAACACAAAATTTGGGCCCGATCGGTTCAGCCGTTTTGACTTTTATCGGATGCAAACAGGCAAGCAGACAGACAGATAAGCAAAGTATATAGATAGATTAATGAAGTTATGATAAAATATATATATTTTTTAAATAACTAGGCTTACCTTGTCCCTACTGTTTTCAACCCTAAAACATGAAAAATGAATAACTAAAAGATATATTTCGCAAATCTAATTTTATATATATCCTAAACTTTGCGTAAAATAATAAAAACCCTGTAACTTAAGGGAAGTTTTATGAAAATGTTAACAATACAATTCTGGAATATGAAGACGACTTTAAGAATCACTTTGTGATTTGAACAGTCCAGGGAACAAAAACACAGCAGTTGTACACACAACTCCTTAACAATTTGATTTTTTAAAAATTAATTGCTTCAACATTATGAAATATATATAATAGAGCGCAAATGTCGTCTTCTCATTCTGCGGTTTTGTGGGTCTCAAAATTTTGATTTGAGCCATTCATATACGTTCTTCAACAATTTTTTAATAAAACGTTAAAGTTCTTCTATCATTTTTACTTGAACAAAAACCAAAAGACGCGACTTACTTGTACTTATTCTTGTACTTGTACTTGTACTTGTGCTTGTACTTGTACTTGTACTTGTAATTGTACTTGTACTTGTACTTGTACTTGTACTTGTACTTGTACTTGTACTTGTACTTGTACTTGTACTTGTACTTGTACTTGTACTTGTACTTGTACTTGTACTTGTACTTGTACTTGTACTTGTACTTGTACTTGTACTTGTACTTGTACTTGTACTTGTACTTGTACTTGTACTTGTACTTGTACTTGTACTTGTACTTGTACTTGTACTTGTACTTGTACTTGTACTTGTACTTGTACTTGTACTTGTACTTGTACTTGTACTTGTACTTGTACTTGTACTTGTACTTGTACTTGTACTTGTACTTGTACTTGTACTTGTACTTGTACTTGTACTTGTACTTGTACTTGTACTTGTACTTGTACTTGTACTTGTACTTGTACTTGTACTTGTACTTGTACTTGTACTTGTACTTGTACTTGTACTTGTACTTGTACTTGTACTTGTACTTGTACTTGTACTTGTACTTGTACTTGTACTTGTACTTGTACTTGTACTTGTACTTGTACTTGTACTTGTACTTGTACTTGTACTTGTACTTGTACTTGTACTTGTACTTGTACTTGTACTTGNAATCAGGACAATATTGTCCTAACTGTGTAAGCTATAACTAACCCGTAATCAGGACAATATTGTCCTAACTGTTTAATCTATAACTAACCCGTAATCAGGAAATATTGTCCTAACTGTGTAAGCTTTAAATAACCCGTAATCAGGACAATATTGTCCTAACTGTGTAAGCTATAACTAACCCGTAATCAGGACAATATTGTCCTAACTGTTTAATCTATAACTAACCCGTAATCAGGAAATATTGTCCTAACTGTGTAAGCTTTAAATAACCCGTAATCAGGACAATATTGTCCTATCTCTGTAATCTATGACTAACCCGTAATCAGGACAATATTGTCCAAACTGTGTAAGCTAAAAATAACACGTAATCAGGAAAATATTGTCCTATCTGAATAATCTATAACTAACCGGTAATCAGGATAATATTGTCCTATCTAATTGATCTATAACTAACCAGTAATCAGGATAATATTGTCCTATCTAATTAATCTATAACTAGCCGGTAATCAGGATAATATTGTCCTATCTAATTAATCTGTAACTAACCAGTAATCATGATAATATTGTCCTATCTAATTAATCTGTAACTAACCAGTAATCATGATAATATTGTCCTATCTAATTAATCTATAACTAACCGGTAATCAGGATTAAGGCAGCAGACCTCTCCCCGCCTACACTTCGAGTCGCTTACATCAATAATTCCACTTCGACTAAATAGATTATCAACATAAATTATCAGAAAATATTACAAAAATAGATTATTAAAAAAGATTATCAAAATAAAGATTATCAACGTAAATTATCAAAATATGTAGATTATCAAAATTTTTGACATAGATTAATAAAATAGATTTAAATAGAATATTATGTGATTGTATCTTAAATGATTTGGCAAAAGAATAGAATGTTGGACTAAAGACATTAAAATTCCTGGGGAGTTGTCACTAACCCTTTAATACATTTAATCTAAATATAAACGTTGATTGTCTGGTGTCTGCATATTTTGAATTTTGTTAAATTTTGAATATGCGAAAAAATTATTGTTTACGCCGCAAACATTTTTTGTTATTATTTTATATAATTGTACAAAGAGAAGATGCTCACAGATCGAGACACAATTAGAATTTGAAATAGAGGATGGGTGCGAAGCGTTCTAAAAACCTAGTATGATATATTTAAAAGTATTACTTTACACAACAGCTCTCATCGTCATTAGCGGAGATATCTTCATCATCATCTACTCGTATATCCAGGAGTTTGGAACCATCAGTTACAATAGTACGATTTCTAAACATTAAATCCAAAGATAATATATATATAGATATGCAGGCAGGTATAAATTTTGAGGTCTTGAGAAAAGGTGCAAACAGCACCATCTCTGTCGTACGCATGGCATTTTATCCTCTGGATTGTTGCTAATTTATCACTTTGTTTATGCGTGATAACACTAAATGCGTACTATAGTATCAACAATGTATACTGCATATTGTACCTAATGAAACAAATTAATCAATGCAAATAAAACTGAGGTAGGAATTTGACTAGACAAAGTTTAAATGTGCAAGTTGTACTGAATGGGATACGTAAATTAACGCAATTTAAATAAAAATTTTGACTAAAAAGTACATCGAATCTAGGACAAAGTCCTAATAGCGGACAGGATCCGGTCGAACAATACATCCCATTCAACACTACTATGGTCGGTTGTTCCTGGCTCTTCATGGCTCACAACTGGCTCATCACCCCCTTAACCCCAAAAACTCAAAAAAAAACTCCATTACTTTCCTAAAATGATCATCCTAGGTTTGGTGCGCTCAAAACTTCAATTTGATTGGTATATAAAAAAGAAATGAGCCAGCCCCAGTCCAATATCCCCTTTGATAGCCTTAGTTTAATTTTTTTAAATAATTCAAATTTGCAATGAAATTACCTAAATAAGTAAACCGTCCCTTTAAACTTCTGTTTTTTAAACTTCCCAAATTCATAGAAAATTCTGCAAACAAATGCAGGAAGGAACTGTTAATCTTTTCTTTGTTATTATGCAATAAATTTTGAGGAAGATTTATTTTGATTTATTGAGTGGATGGTATACAGTGGATTAACCTGCAGATATGGAAAGGAACACAGACAAAACCTTGATCTGCGTAGGCTGCACAGCTTCGTTTCTCACAATTATCCTGCACATATTCACAATTTTGAAAGCAGGTTGCTCGGACGATCAATGTATGATTTAATATTTGCCTTTTGCCGGCCCTAGCCCGTACCAAAAATGTGCTTGCCAGCTGAATCGTGTCACGTACGAGGGAGCTAAAAAAAACTCCGGCCGCGGGGTGCAACGGAAAATTTTAGTTCCGCAGTTTTATTAGCCAATATTTAAAAATAGATGTCTGTTTTTTCAAGATTCAAAAAATTTCCATTGAATTGGATTGATAAAGAATTTTTAAATCCACTGAAAGGGGTTATAGACATAATTTCAAGTAACTCTCCATTATAATGTGCCATGTTCAATTTACAGCTGTAACCATGTAAAGCTTTGTCAGATCAAGAATATATGAGATATCCATTATTTTCGTCTTTGAAAATTGATTTATTTGTGCATAAAGTGATTTAGGACTCTCTACTCCAGAAACAATTTAAAGCTAAAAAAATTTTAAGAAAAGAATTCGAATTTCTTTTAGCCTAAGACACTCCCCGGCTACCCATGAGTGTCCACAACATATTTCAGCCCAATTGGTCCAGCCGTTTGGCCGGCTATCGGTGACATATATAGAAAATGTTAATCACTTACCCCTATTCGTAGATCAAATCCATCTTCTTGTGAATTACTAAACAAAACTATTTTCAAAAATCCCATTTCAAGGTTTTTGTTGTAAATTCTATGAAGTTATAAAGAAAAGTTAAGAAAAAATGAATATCGAATGTTTATTATTCCAATGCAGTTATTTTCCTTTTACATTATATATTATATTATCAGAAATATTAATTTCTCTGTATTGTGTGTCAAGTTTCATTGTTTTTAAAAGACAGACATTATTTAACATCTATCATTAACTACAGACACAATTGTTAGTTTTACATTTTGAAAAAATAGTCTTTTTTAATGAAATGGTTCCTTTAACATCTTTACAGATATTTTGGTTTTCAGATTAGTTTATTATTTTAATTGTTAGACTAGTAATTCTTTAATAATCTAAATTTTTTATTAATCATTTTAATGTTGCTTTCTAGATTTAAGATCATAAATTTTAGTTTATTTTTTTATGTTCATAAAAATTACAAATGCCATGATTTTAAAAGTTTTGTTTGAACCTAACAAGTTTCCCAATTTCCAATGGATCAGTGCAAACGTCCTAAAAAAATATTTAATATTTAGATATGCATTCATTACTATTAAATAATTTGCCATGATGTAAAATGATGTACAAAAATGTTTTACTTAACGATTTTTTTCTAGTTTAATTTGAATATAGATTCTTCAGTACATAGATATAACACTTTTTAAATTGAATTGTGAACAGTTTTTAAATTGAAATTGGAAAATAATTCATAGTTAAAAAAAAAATTGTCGACTCCTTCAAGTTCTTCAATGTTCAAATTGGCTCCATTAATAATACACCAGTAATCGGAACCAATACATTTCTTTTAAAGAAAAACTTTGCATTACTTGGTGGATAGGTATCCCAGACCCAGCCCCCCTATTCTGAACGTTGTACTCAATCCTAAGTATGGTTTACACTAAAGCTGACCTATTATGTGACGATAATCAAATGTAAATTACTTTTAATGTTAAATACTTTAAACAAATAGAAATCAAACTCTGCTATAAATAGAGAATAAATTGAATAAAGAAATCTCCAAATAAATTTTGTTATTTTTTTCCGTAATAAAAGAAACTTTACTGTTTACCTTGGGTACACAAGTCATCCTTTCACTGTTGTACTCTAGATCAGAGGAGCACTAGACATACAATATATACAATATTTAGAAGAGAACTAGACATACAATATATACAATATTTAAAGGAGCACTAGACATACAATATATACAATATTTAGAGGAGCACTAGACATACAATATATACAATATTTAGAAGAGAACTAGACATACAATATATACAATATTTAAAGGAGCACTAGACATACAATATATACAATATTTAGAGGAGCACTAGACATACAATATATACAATATTTAGAGGAGCACTAGACATACAATATATACAATATTTAAAGGAGCACTAGACATACAATATATACAATATTTAGAAGAAAACTAAACATACAATATATACAATATTTAGAAAAGCACTAAACGTACAATATATACAATATTTAGAGGAGCACTAAACATACAATATATACAACATTTAGAAGAGCACTAAACATACAATAAATACAATATTTAGAAGAACACTAAACATACAACAAATGCAATATTTAGAGGAGCACTGTAAATACAATAAATACAATATTTAGAAGGCACTAGACATACAGTAAATACAATATTTAGAAGAGCACTGTAAATACAATAAATACAATATTTAGAAGAGCACTAGACACACAGTAAATACAATATTTAGAAGAGCATTAAGCATAAAACAAATACAATATTCAGGAGAACATTAAGCATACAACAAATACAATATTTAGAGGAGCACTATACATACAATAAATACAATAATTAGAAGAGCACTAAACATACAACAAATACAATATTTAGAGGATCATTAAACATACAATAAATACAATATTTAGAAGAGCACAATACATTCAGTAAGTACAATATTTAGAAGAGCATTAAGCATTCAATAAATACAATAATTAGAAGAGCACTAAACATTCAATAAATACAATATTTAGAGGAGCACTGTGAATACAACAAATGCAATATTTAGAGGAGCACTGTAAATACAATAAATACAATATTTAGAGAAGCATTGTGAATACAACAAATGCAATATATAGAGGAGCACTGTAAATACAACAAATGCAATATTTAGAGGAGCATTGTAAATACAATAAATACAATATTTAGAGAAGCATTGTGAATACAACAAATGCAATATATAGAGGAGCACTGTAAATACAACAAATGCAATATTTAGAGGAGCATTGTAAATACAATAAATACAATATTTAGAGGAGCACTGTAAATACAACAAATGCAATATTTAGAGGAGCACTGTAAATACAACAAATGCAATATTTAGAGGAGCACTGTAAGTAGAACAAATCAATATTTAGAGGAGCACCATGAATGCAACAACAAAAACAATATTTCAACAATTGTTAAGAGGAGTGAACGAAAAAAGTTGGTCGAACAAAAACATTAAAAAAAAAATTTTCCTGTGTCCGAATTTAATGAATGTGAGCCGCGTCTTAAATTCGCCAAAAACCGGTTTCAATTGAGCGCCGGCTTAAATCTTGAAACATTGAATACAATTTTAAGTGAAACCAACCATATTTGAGCCTCGACTTAAATTTAAATCGGCGCTCAAATTCTTTAAATTTGGCCTCAGCACATATAATAGTCCAGACTCTACGAAAACTAGAATATCAGAAATAAGACGACAACATCTCTTTCGACAAACGCTAAATATGAGTAACCCACTTTATATTTGATAGATAGATATAATTATAATTATAATTGCGCAATTTTGTACATTTTAATTTAGCCATGGGACCTCTCTAACCATTGCTGGTTGTTTTATATGAGAGACCCTTTGCAGCGATACAAACATGTTAAAATAAAATAAAACAAAATGAAACAAAAACAATTTAGAACTAAAGGAAAGCAAAGAGATGTGGAGGAGAAGGAAAAATAGTAGATAGAGGAAAAGGTATTGAAGAACAGAGAGGAAAAGAAGAAGAAAAAAAACGTGCTGGGGGGGATCTTCAAAAGGGAATAAGAATAAAGGGAAGGGAAATGGCGCTGGTCTGGAATGAGAAAGCCAGTCGCACTGCTTTGCAGACGAGTTCGTTATTACACACGCACACTCTTTTGGTACAGACAGACATATTGAATTAATAAAATCAAACCTTAGGATCGCACTGGTCGGTGTCTTTATTATATTCCTCAGAAGCGGAGCACTAAATAAAATATATTAATCAATTACCTAATCCATTAAAGAGACTGTTAACAGAACTTCAAGTGAACCTCTTTTGTAAAGTGGAATTTCCAATTTAGTGGTTCCTTGATCAATAGTAAATAAGATATCTAATATTTCTTAAAAAAAAAAATATTTAATTGCTTTTATTTCTTCATAAAAGTGACAATAGATTTCTTACTGCAGAAATATTAGATATAATTTTTTGTCCACTATACGGACTCATAGGTGTTCACAATATTCCATAAAAACACGTGTTACCTGTAAATCAGAATTTAAAACGGAATTTAATGCAATCCATTTTCAGAGATTTGTTATACTCTTACTTTTTACATTATTTTTAATAAGATGGTCTGAATCAAGGTACTAATGCAAGGAAAGTTATTTCAGAGGTGTTCCGCATTTTTTGTACTGCAATGTACTGTCTTTGGGCGGAAAAGTAAACACAAGACGGATGTCACAGCCTGACATGGAATTCATTTACACAAAAATAATCTATGAAATATTCTGGTCATGTGAAACTATTATGTGAATTATCAAAACTAAATGCTTTTAACCTCCTCGGATACTAAACGAACACTGATGCATCTATTCTTGTTTACAAATTCCACCCAGATAGAACTGGTTTCAATATGTACACAGAGTATACGCAACTGCAATTAACTTTCCTGGCATTAGTACCTTGGTCTGAATAATATATCCCACATGTCAAACCGAATATATTTTCTCACTCCTTAGTCCACTCTACGAAAAGTATCAAAAATAAGCGGAATTCCGTGTATGTCACCGAGAGTTTTAAGTTACTCGGTCGTAAAAAAACTTTGAAAGGTAAATTATTATATATCTTCAAATAGGGGATAAGAAAGGAAGTATAAAATACAAGCTGAAGGGCCCGGCTTTGCCCGTGGAATTTTTTTTTTTAATTTGTGAGAAAAAAAATTTCGAATTTTTTTAGCCTATGACACCCCCCGGCCACTCATGAGTGTCCACAAAAAAAATCATATAGATAAGCAGAAAACTAAATTCTTATAATAAAAATATAATAATAAGTAATAAATGAAGTTCTAACCTTTTCTGTACAACCATTAGTTTGTACGAGAAACTCTGTTCCAGGGGGGCACTGAGAAATAAAAAAAATAGAATATTTTTTCTAAGAATTTCAAAATTTACAATAGTATTGCACCGGAAATATGAAGGATGAGAAGGATAAGAAGGATAAGAAGGATGAGAAGGATGAGAAGGATGAGAAGGATGAGAAGGATAAGAAGGATAAGAAGGATAAGAAGGATTAGAAGGATAAGAAGGATAAGAAGGATAAGAAGGATGAGAAGGATAAGAAGGATTAGGATGAGAAGGATAAGTAGGATGAGAAGGATGAGTAGGATGAGAAGGATGAGAAGGATAAGAAGGATGAGAAGGATGATAAGGAATAGAACGATGAGAAGGAGGAGTACAGGATAAAAGGATGAGAAGGATAAGAAGGATGAAAAGAATGAGAGAATAAGAAGGATGCGTACAGGATGAGAAGGATAAGTACAGAATGAGAAGGGTGAGAAGATTGAGAGAATGAGAAGGATGAGCACAGGATGAGAAGGATGAGTACAGGATGAGAAGGATGAGAAGGTTGAGAGAATAAGAAGGATGCGTACAGGATGAGAAGGATAAATACAGAATGAGAAGGGTGAGAAGGTTGAGAGAATGAGAAGGATGAGTACAGGATGAAAAGGATGAGTACATGATGAGAAGGATGAGAAGGTTGAGAGAATAAGAAGGATGCGTACAGGATGAGAAGGATAAGTACAGAATGAGAAGGGTGAGAAGGTTGAGAGAATGAGAAGGATGAGTACAGGATGAGAAGGATGAGTACAGGATGAGAAGGATGAGAAGGTTGAGAGAATAAGAAGGATGCGTACAGGATGAGAAGGATAAGAAGGATGAGAAGGATGAGAAGGATGAGAAGAATGAGAAGGTTGAGAGAATAAGAAGGATGAGTACAGGATGAGAAGGATAAGTACAGAATGAGAAGGGTGAGAGGGTTGAGAGAATGAGAAGGATGAGTACAGGATGAGAAGGATGAGTACAGGATGAGAAGGTTGAGAGAATGAGAAGGATGAGTACAAGATGAGAAGGATGAGTACAGGATGAGAAGGATAAGTACAGAATGAGAAGGGTGAGAAGGTTGAGAGAATGAGAAGGATGAGTACAGGATGAGAAGGATGAGTACAGGATGAGAAGGATGAGTACAGGCTGAGAAGGATAATTATAGGATAAGAGTATAGTTCTAATTTCAAAGCCAATTCTTTAACATTTCCAGAGAATTTAGAAATTAATAATGTTCACATAAACAAAATGATAGCCAAGTTTTTTCTTTGTTTGAAACATCGAGCGCCTATATTGCACTATGAAGCGCGCAGTTAAAGTAAATTGAAATAAAATAGGAAATATGTCAATCTAACCTCTATTGGCACACATCCAACACCTTCTTTAAGTTCTAAACCAGACTCACAATCAAACAAATCATCAATACTTTCCTAAATTATAAGAAATCATAAAATTTTAATTTTAATCTTTAGTTTTTCTTTTTAATTATTCCTCAACGTTCTCCTTATTTACAAAATAATTAAAATTCTCCTTGATTTATTAAAATCTGAAATTTCTCTTCCAAAATATTCCTAACTGGGTTTCTTAACTATAACAATGTAACAATATTTTCCCTAATTTGTACTTTCAAGAAGATCATTTAGAGTTTCTTAAATTAAAGGAAATAAAACTATCTTTTGGCATAAAATCAAATAGAGATTTTCATTCACCAAAATTCTGAAATAAGTATTCATTCATGTCTTCAGTCATATATGGAATGATAGATTTTCTATTTCCGTCCCAGCATGATTGACATGATACAGCTCCTATAGCCCGCTATTTATTGACTTGCGCATTTCTACTGCTTGAAAACATAAAGGAAATTATCTAAATTAATTAAACACTTTAAACATTAGGGCAATGCCATTTTTTCATAGAGGGTCAATTGAAATTAAGTTTACAGGCTCTTTAAGGGAGTGTTCGCGAACAGTCCCTTTAAGGAAGGTAATTTCCAACCTCTTTTATCTCGAAACATCCTTGACCTTCTTTTAGTTCAAACCCAGGGACACAGTCACCAATGGCTCCTACTATATCCTCAAGACTATCCTAAATTATAAGAAAATTCATGAAAATCTTCTATATCTCAAAATATTATCAAAATTCTCCTGCAGTCCATAATTTTCACGAACATGTTATTAAATTGTCCACGGTGTGGCATTTTACGACGTAATTTGTCATAAAACGTACAGGGTGTCTCACGAAAAATGACAGTTAGTGAATGGTTTAAAATGTCTTCTTCCATAATTTGTTAAGTTGTTTGACACCAAAGAGAATAATAAAAAATATTGTATGGGAGTCATCTTACAGTAAAATGGATTTCAAAGTAAAACATATTTGAGTAAAAGATTTGTTAAACAAATAAACAACAAGTTTTTAATATCTAATACAGTATATGGAAGAAGACATTCAAAACTATTCACCAACTGTCATGTTTCGTAGGACACCCTGTATAAAATGAGCTCCTAATGTGTCTATAGGCCAACATTTTACCACTTGAGAATGTGCTCTCAAAAGGAACTACAGAAACTAGGAAAAATTTAATATCCCGGAAATTTCCGAAACGACAACAGGGAAATTTTCAAAAAAATTTTCACACATCAAAGTTATATCGGAAAATTTCCGGATATTTTGTGAATACAAAAATAAATCGTAAAGCTGGGGGAAATCCAGATTATCTTCGTACACAACCGGTAAACCGGAATTCTGATGGAAACCCTGCAAGTAGTATTTAAAGAAAGTGTTCTCCAAACATGAAAGGTGATGAAGACTGAATTCTACGAGAATCTGTATAAAAGTAGTATTTAAAGAAAGTGTTCTCCAAACATGAAAGGTGATGAAGACTGAATTCTACGAGAATCTGTAATCGATCCCCATTAATTAATCAACGTCTGGAATAAGGAAATCTTAAAATCCTTGATTATAAAAATTTTATACGTAAAAAAATGCAAGGTTTTTTGATTATTCACAGTATTTATGTTGAAGTTTGGAGAATATTCAATATAATATAGCGCTCAGTATATAAATGAGAACGATTTTCACAGACAGAAATTTACTGTTTAAACCCCTTTACAAATTTCAATTTAATGTGAGTGTAACAGAAAAACGACATTAACGTATTTGAAAGTGTATTTGCTTATGTTACAAATATTTGTTCACAATTAGCATAAAAATAAATTTTATTATGACAATAGTTCTTTAAAACTTTGCTGTTGGTGAAAGCTATGTTATTCTAGGATTTTTCAAATACAGTGTGACCCACAAAGAATGAGACTTCGGAAACGACTGTGCGGAATTTATTTAGTCTTTTGTCTTTCAAACATACAAAGAACTCTTGCTACACTTACACAAAAATACAAAAGTTTTAATTCAACTTCCTATAATCATCATATTAGAAAAGCTTCTGATCGCCAGCACAGTCTCAATCTTGTGGGTAACGCAGTATCATATTGATTCTAATGTATAAAATTCTTCATTTCATTCCACAGTTTTTTGAGGACCACTGTACCTGGGGTTGAGGGGCTGAGACTGCTGGACTTATAAAAAGAAGAAACAGTAAACCCGTCTCTTTAAACATTTTAGTTTTAAACTTCAACCGAATTTGTTTAGAAATATTTTATCTGAATTCTGAAAGTATTCAATCTGGTACCACGCTCCACCGAGAAGGTTAAGGTCAAAAGAATTGATTTTCTAATCTCTATATCTTTGCAAACCAATGTTGTAGAACATAGATAGATATCTCAAACTATAAATTCTGTCAGATTAAATAATCTAAGTTTGAAATACTATTTGCCTGCAAAGACATACGGATTAACAAATTTGAAATTGTGGCAAAGACTCAATTCCTTTATGCGATATAACTGGTAGTTAACTCGTTGTTCCTCTAGATTTGATTATTCACACAAGTTTGAGGAAAGCAAATTTTGTTGGCCACGTAAACTATAGAAATTCAAATCAGGTTTGCTTTTCTCAATAGTTCTTCAACAAGAGGAAATTTACTTTAATTTGTCGTGTATCGAAATACCAAAAATGTTCAAAGACAGTTAAACCTTCGAACACTTTGACAGAATTTTAAAAATTTTAAAAAGTAGGTATTCGATTTACAACAGTACCCTTAAATATTCTCTTTTTGTATTAACAATGATTGACAGATTGCATGATATCCTTGATCCTTCTTGCTGCAGAGAATCTGCATTTTTTTGGTTTTTAAATATTCTTTTATATTTAGATTATATCAATTTACGAAGCTCATAGAATTACTATGAATCTCTAATAAATGAATATATATGGAGTAAAGAGAGTGTGAGTTTAAACTAAGAGTAAACTACTGCCACTGCTATGGTTGAAGAGTGAATAACTGCTACTGCTATGGTTGAAGAGTGAACTACTGCTACTGCTATGGTTGAAGAATGAAGAGTGAATAACTGCTACTGCTATGGTTGAAGAGTGAATAACTGCTACTGCTATGGTTGAAGAATGAAGAGTGAATAACTGTCACTGCTATGGTTGAAGAGTGAATAAATGCTACTGCTATGGTTGAAGAATGAATAACTTCTACTGCTATGGTTGAAGAGTGAACAACTGCTACTGCTATGGTTGAAGAGTGAATAACTTCTATTGCTATAGTTGAAGACAAACAAAAGAAGATTGAAGAATATAGCCTGGAGGGAACAAAACAAGTTCAAATTATTCCAACCCGGGCTTAAAATTGGTGGTCAAATCACACGACTTAATAATATCAATAATCTTAGAATATTTTCTTTTATAGTTACAGAATATCATCGTTAAGCTCAGCAGTCTCAGTTTAGATATTTCAGGGAATTATTAAATATTGTGGAGACGTAGAAACTGTGAGTCCCCTTTATACAGACTCTGATATACTTGATCTAGTTTCTGCTTACGAAANATTGATTTTAGGGGTATATTATTAATCAGACAATTCTGATGTTTTAAATCAGTTTATTATACCAAAAAAAAAGTTTTTTAATAAAAACTATTTCTGTTCTTTTAATCCTTCAAATACTTCTACTTTCTAGTAGGGAATTGAGTCTTTGCCACAAACTGAAATTTGCTAATCCCTATAACTTTGCAAATCTTTTATATTTTGAAGTTAGACTAGATGATCTATTTGAAATATCAAGTTTTTCTGGTTTATGGTTTATGGCCGGTTTGAATGTAAATAAAAAAGGTGTAAAGTCGCAAATAGATTTTATTTTAAGTCAAAAATTCTTCAATATTATAAAAAATTAATACTTTTTATTGAACCTTTTAAAAGTTTCTCGTGGCAACTTTCAGTTTTAATTTGATTTTTTTAACAGCGCAATTTTTTTCTGCATATCGGACAGAAATCCATAACCCCATACGTCTGTTTGTTTGTTTGTATTCAATAAACGTCAAAACGGCTTAACCATCGGGCCCAAATTTTTTGTGGGACTTCTCATGTCCCTAGGTTTATAGATGTTCAAAGTTTCAAAATTTTGCCTCCAACAAAATTCGACTGTCATTAAATTTAGAAAATCCACGAAATATTTTTATAAAATCCGCGAAAATTTTTTTGTTTTTATTTTCCAATGTAAACAAAAAGAAAATGTCCACAACAGAAATAGAAGATGGGCGCGAAGAGCCATAAAAAGCCTTATATAAATGTATTGATATGTGATTCATTTACAGTATATTCTTTGTATGTTTTTGGTATAAAGTTTGAAGGCAATACTACACATTAATTAATATATTTACGTGGAGAGCTAAAGATTACTTTAAGTAGTGCACCCAGGATCTTTGAATGAATTGTAGCTAATCCCCCTTTTGTCCAACAAAGGCCTGGTGACCTGCACTATTGGACCGCTATAAAACAAATATATCTTTATCATGCCTACCAGAGAACTAAGGATGACACTGGCCTCCTTCCACATCATGATACAGGAGAGACAAACACAAAACAATACTCGTTTGTAGAATTGAGAATTATAAGTAGATTTAGGAGAGACAAACACAAGGATTAATCATACTCGTTTGTAGAATTGATCAGAAGAATTAGGACTTTCCAGGACACAGGAGAATTAGGATATCCAGGACACATAGGAACTAGGACTTCCAGGACAAATAAGAGTACTAGGACTTCCAGGATACATGGGATAACTAGGATATCCAGGACTATAGAAGCAGAAGCTAAACCTGATTGGAGATATAATGGGAGTAGTATTTTACTACGTCTGGACAAGTTCCCCCATGCCCCCTTGTTATAGGGTGTTTTACCTAGGGTGTGGTAATCCAGTTAATACTTTTTTCCCCCTCCCATCCTACTTATGGAACCTAGCCTAGGTGGGAACCATTGGAACCATTGAGATTGTATTCTGCTTATGGAACTCAGTCAAGCTGAGAACCATTGAAGCCATTGAGATTTTAGTCTGCTTATGAGACTCTAGCCCAGCTGGGAGCCATTGAAGTCATTGAGATTTTAGTCTGCTTATGACCTAAGCATGGCAAAGGTTTATAGGGTTAATAGGAGATTAGTTATGACCTAATCCAAGTATTGTAATGGTGTACATGGATATTAATTATGACCTAATCCTTGTCTTGTTATAGAGTAGTTATGACCTATGCATGGCAAATATGTATGTGGGCATAAGTTGTAGAAGATCTAAGATACAGAGAGAACAGGAGATTAGTTAAAGACCTAATCCCTGGTGTATAATAGTTGTATAGAGAACCTAAGATACAAAGAAGACAGGAGATTAGTTAATGACCTAATTCCTGGTGTATAATAGATTTATAGAAGACCTGAGATACAGAGAGAACAGGAGATTAGTTAACGACCTAATCCCTGGTGTATAATAGATTTATAGAAGACCTAAGATACAGAGAGAACAGGAGATTAGTTAATGACCTAATCCCTGGTGTATAATATAGAAGACCTGAGATACAGAGAGAACAGGAGATTAGTTAATGAGCTAATCCCTGGTGTGTTTTATAGATTTATAGAAGACCTCAGATACATATATGTTCCTTGGCTGCGGTCTTCATTTTTAAAACGGTACTTCTGTCCCAGTGCAGGCCGCCTGCGCGATCATAAACCGTTGCACTATGCTTTGCTATTGTGCCGAGATTGTCTTAACCTATAACCTTACCCGCAAATAGAAAACGATAATGTATAACTTGTTGAGCCTATAAGAGATATTAAAAGGTTAAATCCTAGCCGCAGCGCGTGTCCCCCCGCCTGCCCTGACTGCAGCGCTGTGTCCAGAAGTTGTCTTAGCCTAACCTAACCCACAAATAGGAAGCGACAAGGTGTATCTTGTTGAGCCTGCAAGAGGTATTAATAGGTTAAATCCTAGCAGCAGCACTTCGCCCCCTAGCCTGCCTTAGCTGCAGCGCTTGGCCAGAAGTTGTTTTAACCTAACCTAACCCACAAATAGAAAACAACAATGTATACCTTGGTGAGCAATAAGTATGTTAGATGAAAATGAAAGGATGATATCAGAGGTATGATAAGGTTAAATTCGAGCCGCAACGCTCAGCCCCCTGGCTTGTCACAGCCGCGCTGCTTGACTCAGAATTGGTAATAACCTAACCGAACCCACAGATAGGAGGTAAAATTGTATACTTGGGTGAGCTATATAAGAGATTTTAGTGGCTGCGGTTTTCAGCTGCAAAACCACTCAGGGCTTATGTCCCAATTAAGTATGTGCATGCACGAGCATAACCATTGTAATATGCTGAGCTAACGTGCAGGTCACCCAATTTATGAAAGTTCGGTGCGATGGGTAGGGTTGTTGACTTTAAAAGTCACCATAATAAAATAAAGAGATCCAAATGGATATTTCTAACATTTATTTTTTTAAAAACGAAAGTTTTGAAATAGTTTCCCAAGAATGGGTTAAAATTGGTTGGTTAAAAATGAACAAGGAATTAATGATGAATATTTGAGGGTACTTCATGGGAGTGATGTAGAGCTTCATGTTGGTGGAGCAGATCCACAGGAACTTGAACACCAGGGCTTATCCAACCTAGTAGGCAAAGATCGCGGTTTTATCATGGTCCGATTGAGAGATTATGTTGTCTCTGGAAAGCATGATAAACTGGGAACCCTTCGGGTAAGCACGTCTGCTGCTAGCTGAAAATCTGTTTCATCATCATAAAGGAGTCAAGAGGCTCCCTGTGTCGGAGCTGTTACTAGCTCAACTCTCCTAACCTGACTGCCGGCTGGGTGGGATGTGTAGAGGAATGAGCGGGGTTTGACATGTGGGAGCTTCATGGAGGAAATGGATAATACGTCTTGAGAAAAGGCTACGGCATTTGAGTCGGTAAAATCGTCTTCCTTATATTTCGAATTTGCGTTAACAAGGGTGCTTGTAGTTTTTCGGAGCTAACAGCTGCCTCATATTAAATAGATAGACAGTAGAGACCAAAGACTCTGCTAATTATATTAAATTACAAATATTACTTAAATTGATTATGTACTTCTTGTCACATATTTAGGTATTTTTAACCTATATATATATATATATATATATATTTGCTTTATGTTGTCTGTTATAAATATATGCGGATGGAGTTAGAAATGTCTTGTCATGTCTTGGGCTAGTACCTTAGAAACGACGATCTTTCCGATTCCATCATTCAAATATTCAATATAAAAAATATATTTATGCCTTGAATTAAAGATACAATTATAGATTTTAGCATGGAGCACAACATTTGAAACAGAGCATATATTTATAGTGGAGAACAAAAACCAAATTATATACTTATACACTTTACATATAAACTAAACAGTTTGTTTTTAATCTTCATGACAGAAATATTCTCAAGGAATAATAATTTTCTGAAAACATTCTTCAAAAAGGGAATATTTGCAAATTATCTTTTTTCCATCTCATGATTTCCCTTTGGTCTATTTGCCGGCCCATTTAAAAAAAAATTTAAACAATCTTTTTTGTTTGTTTATTTTCTTGTGGTTTTTAACATTGATTTTGATGGTTATTTTATCCTTAGAACTGACGAGGGTCAACCCAGACTGAAATATATTTTCAATAAAATGTGGAACTAACATCTACTTTTTTCTCTACAGAGAGGTTTGGTCCATCACCATCATCTAATTTTAAATCATATACTTATGTTGACAGTAAATGTTTTTATATACAGATAAATATATATACATTTTTTGTTTGCATACATTTTGTTACCATATATATATTGTGATTGGATATATTTTAGAGGCCGAATATATTTATATAAACATATAAATATATTAGGTCAAATACAAAACATTTCTTACCATAAAATGCACTCTAACACAATATATGTCACACCATTAAATGTATCTAAGCACAAAATATATCCGACCACCAAAAGTATACAATCACAAAATATGTCCGGCCACAAACTATTGTGGATACATGAACTTTAAACATGATATTTAGGCTCAGCTACATTTTGCCTAGTCACAATTTGCCTAGTCACATTTTGCCTAGTCACATTTTGCCTAGTCACATTTTGCCTAGTTCACTTTTGCCTAGGTAACATTTTGCCTAGGTAACTTTTTGCCTAGTTCAAGTTTGCCTAGTAACATTTTGCCTAGGGTAACATTTTGCCTAGGTAACGCAAGAGCATGTTTTTTGCCTAGTTCTCTGGGAACAGCGCCAATTCTTGGTCTCTGCCCTCTCCCCATTGAAAACATAATAGAAGTTATTCTTATCTCTGTAGTTGGGCTTACCCCGCCTGGTAAGCCCTGCAGTTATCATGGGAGCTATTTTCAATGTGTCTCTCCTTCTGATTGGGTTAAAGGAAACTGAATGATTTTCAAAAATTTGCGAAGTTTTTCCCAAAAAATTTGCGGATTTAAAAAAAAATCTTGGATTATTGAAAAAAAATCTCGGATTGATGAAAATTTCTTTGTGAAAAAATTATTGACTAGGCAAAAAATTCGCTCTTTTGTTACTCTAGGCAAAATGTTACCCTAGGCAAAATGTTACTAGGCAAAATGTTACCTAGGCAAACTGTTACCTAGGCAAAATGTGACTAGGCAAATTGTGACTAGGCAAAATGTGACTAGGCAAAATGTGACTAGGCAAATTGTGACTAGGCAAAATGTAGCTGAGCCGATATTTATATTTAAATTCACAAATTTAACATTTATAAAACTTCTTGTCATTTATCTCAAAGACTATATCTAATAGTGTTAACATAAATTCGAAATATAAGGAAGACGATTGTACCGACTCAAATGCCTCTGTTAATTCTCTAGATGTGTGTGTACACAGGATCCATTTCCGCAATGAAGCACACCACACATGTCAAATCCCCGCTCATCCCAGCTCCCCGCTCACCTCAGCAGTCAGCCAAAAACACCCGAGATGATCACAACTCAGTCTCAGAGAGCTACCCTGGCTCCTACATGTTGTTAATATAGATACTTGAGCAGCAGCAGACGATGCTTACATCCAGCCCATCAAAATGTTCCAAGAGTTCTAAGCATTTGCGGCCAAACGGAAAGGAATTATCCAGACTGAATATATTTCCCTCCCCGGAGTTCCGACGGGCCTACTCACCCACTCTCCTCTACAAGAGGATAATCTCAACTCTAAAGAGTTTCCTAATCGAACCTGGAAGTTTTGTTGGGGATTATATATCCTACGAGAGCCTGGAGAGAGCAGAAACCTGCTGTTACAGTTCTAGTTGATCTGCACTACCAACATGAAGTTCTACATTGCTCACATGAAGTTGCTACTGATGTTTGTCAATTTATAGTTTCTTTATTAATTTCTAAACCAACCAATTTTAACCCCACTTGGGAAACTATTTCATAACCTTTCGTTTATTAAATAAAGATTAGAAATACCATTAGATCTCTTTTATTTTATCATATTGACTTTTAAAGTCAACAAATAGAGATACACGATCGGATTTACAATTTAATGAATATAAAAACATGAATTAATTTCATGAGAATTTTTTTACAAATAAATATATGTAAACATATGAGCATATGTCGGAAAGTAGTAGTATATATATTTGTATATGTAAGCCAACCCCCCCCCCCCCCCCCCCGGTTTTCCCAGGCGGTGGAATCGGCCCCAACAATTTTTCTCCTCTTTAGGCGTATAATTACAGTTAATAATGGAGGAAGAGGGACGCAGCCCCCTTGACAGAACTCTGGACATTATTTCATATTATCTTTGAATATGCAGATTTCCATGGCTTACATGCAATAATGTGCAGGTACTGACAGTTCTAATAAAAGGGTGTTTTCAGGTATATAATATTGCAAGAAAGAACTAGTATAAACCCAATAAGGACAATAGTAAAATTAAAAAATTCGACCATTATTTATCTATAATAAAAAAAAAATTTTCTTAGAAGATGTATTCGATTTTAATTTAATGTTTTCAATGGATTATTATTAAATTGATTATAAATTGTGTATACTGTATATATCTAAAACTCGAAATTTACTGTTGTTGTCTACCTGTCTATATAACCAGTGTAGGCCGAAGAGCGGTGTAGAAAGCAGTGAATGAGAGAAAATCCGCAAATTTGAACCATGTCTTTATTTAAACCAGTGTAGTGCATACGACATTATATATAGAATATAATATTCTTCTTCTTCAAACTTTTATTAAAAAAAGCAGAAATGATTTACAAAAATTTAGAATATGATATTACTCAATTTTTTCAACAGAAGACGTGATTCAATTTATTTAACGCAATTTATCGAAAACTTTACAGTTGTTGTTATTGTTTCGAAAACTTTACAGTTGTTGTTATTGTTTAGAAAACTTTACAATTGTTGTTATTGTTTAGAAAACTTTACACTTGTTGTCAAATAACAACAATATTGTTTAGAAAAATGGCGAAATTATAACGACCAAGTGAAGAAAAACAAATCCTACAAAATGAAGATTTTGTTTTGTTTTCTTGTTTTTGTCTTTGCAAATGAAAACGAGATTGTGACAGCTCAAAAAAGTAAACCGGACATTAGGTAACATTAACAAGAGTTTTTGTAAGAGAGGGGGGAGATTCAGTTTGGGTAACCATCAAGCAGGTTTGGATTGACACTTTGGGTTTTTACTTAAAGGGAATTCACGTGCCCTGGCCCACATATGAAAACTTAGAGCTGAGATGGGAACTTTTGTATTGTGGATATCGAGATCAATGCTTGATCACAGTCTTTTTTAATCTGCAGATTAATTTAATCTTTATTCGCAATCCCGTATGGTAATCAGGGGTTGAAAGGAGAAATACCTAAAATGAAGATATGGAAAGGTAAAATTTTTATAAATCCTCAAATAAAACGAGGATATCGAGATCTAGCGATCGGGAGTATGAGTTTTCAACACACTAGTTCCCAGCTCTGATGGTATAGCTGCTATATCCGGTAATTTCCGGTCAAACTGCTGAAGCTTTAGGATATTAACGGTACATTGTCTCTGCACACCTGGAAACTCAATAGGGGGTAGATTATCAAGTACTAGAATATCTTTGGGTTAACCCTGAAGTGACCCACCGGCCCAGCTGTGAGGACCTCCCTCCCCCAGCATTATTTTATTGATATTTTGCAAAAGAAAGATTATGATTATTTAATAGATGATTGAACATTTAAAAACTATTTGTTTTTTAAGCTAAAGCTAGTGGTTGCATGTTTACTGTTTAGTGATTTCTGATAAAATCATAAACTATTTATTCATTTGTAACACAGCGGCGGGACTAAATATAGTTTCAATAGACACAGTCAGTTCAAATAGTATAAAGTTAGAACAAGCACAATCTATTCTATCTATTTATAAACTTTGCTTGTCTGTGTGTTCGTTTGTCTGTTTGTATCCAATAAACGTCAAAACGGGTAAACCGATCGGGCCCAAATTTTGTGTAGGACCTCACATGACCCCAGGGAAGGTTTATGGAAGATTTAAAAAAACTACCCTCAAACAAAATTTGATTTCATTAAAAATTCATTGAAAATCCACGAATTATTTTGATAAAATCCTTTTTTTCTTAATTTTTTACAATGTATACAATGAGAAAAGGTTCACAATTAAATTAATAAGTTATAAAAACTTAGTGAATTAAAAAAACGCGTCAAGTTCAATTAGTTAAAATAAAAATAAACAAAAGTTTGTTTAAGTAAATACAGTATGGCCAAATAAACACATGTTTGTTCAAGTAAATACAGTATGGCCAAATAAACACATGTTTGTTCAAGTAAACACAGTATGGCCAAATAAACACATGTTTGTTCAAGTAAATACAGTATGGCTAAATAAATAAATGTGTTAAAATTACAACTGTGTGTTCAAATAATTAATAAATATTGCTTGTTAAAAACAACACAGTATATTTAAACAAACACAAAGATACATACATACAGAAATGGTGTAGTTTAAATTTGTTTAAATATTTTGATTATAAAGTTTTACAAAAGAAAAAAGAAAAATACGCAAAATTATGCACAAATAGGCGACATTGATCATAACTCATTGCATAACACATTTATCATTTCAATTATCAAGTAATCATCGAATCCTTCAACACATAAATTATTCGTTCTTGTATTTAAAAGTTCTTGCAAAACCGGAACTTTCCATGCATCAAAATATTTCATTTGTTTCTTAACTAACATTTTACTAGGATCAGAAAGATTTACAGAGCAATCATTTGCAATGCAAAATAAATTTCTGCCAAGAACTGTGTTAAGGTCTTTTTTTTGCATGAATTAGAAAGAAATCTAATGAAAAGCTTAGAACTTGCTTCAAAAGTCTCAAAGAAAGACATACATCTGCTAGCTAATATAGTTTTTACATGTAAACATTGTGAAATACTTGAAAACAAGTACCATATGCGTATCTCTAGGTACATTAAAAAGAATTCTAATTCTAAAAGAATTCTAAAGTGAGTTCAAACAAACATGTAGTAAACACCTACTCCATAAGAAGTTCTCTAACGTATCTATCCAGGCCCAGCCCATCCGTTATCAGAGTCAACCAGGACACAGCCCACATGGATCTAAATGCCACTCAGAGACACAAGCGTAACTATCCAACAAGCTATATATTGATCCCAAATGATGGGGACAATCCAAAGCTGTAAATGCCACACAGGGACACAAGCCTAGCTATCAAACAAGAAATATAACGATCCTAACTAGTATTTTAGTATCATATACCTGTATATACAGGGTGTCCCACATCATATTAGACCGTCAACGGGTCTAAATTGCGATTTTCGGGACTAATAAGAAAATTTAATTAGAATGAATCAATTTGAAAAANATCAATTTGACTACCAATAATTCGGTTTGACTACCAATTTATCAATTTGACTACCAATAATTCGGTTTGACTACCAATTGATCAATTTGACTACCAATTGATCAATTTGACTACCAATAAATCAATTTGAGGATCATAGACCTGTATATTGGTATTCTAGGATAATATACCTGTATATTGATATTCTAGGATCATAGACCTGTATATTGGTATTCTAGGATCTGTATATTAATATTCTAGGAAATGTTGTGGAATCACAGAAATATTATTAGAAGTTGGCCCAGGGAACAGAAGATGTGAATCAGGTATTATTATTATTATTATTAATATTATTGTTATTAACATTTGGACAAGATTGGTAAGATAGGATTGAACCCAAAGAATTGGCGAGGTTTAGAGTTGAAGTCCTTCGCTATCCATCATGGGAACCCAACCTGCAGGAACCAGGAACACTTAGTTCCGGTTTATTATCATGTTAGGTTAGTCCCAGGAACACTTAGTTCCGGTTTATTATCATATTAGGTTAGTCCCAGGAACACTTGGTTCCGTTTTATTATCATGTTAGGTTAGTCCCAGGAACACTTGGTTCCGGTTTATTATCATGTAAGGTTAGTCCCAGGAACACTTAGTTCCGGTTTATTATCATGTAAGGTTAGTCCCAGGAACACTTGGTTCCGGTTTAATATCATGTTAGGTTAGTCCCAGGAACACTTAGTTCCGGTTTATTATCATGTGAGGTTAGTCCTAGGAACACTTGGTTCCGGTTTATTATCATGTTAGATTAGTCCCAGGAACACTTAGTTCCGGTTTATTATCATGTTAGGTTAGTCCCAGGAACACTTGGTTCCGTTTTATTATCATGTTAGATTAGTCCCAGGAACACTTGGTTCCGGTTTATTATCATGTTAGGTTAGTCCCAGGAACACTTGGTTCCGGGTTATTATCATATTAAGATAAATCCATCATTTTTTTTCAAAAAAAGTTTGAGTACTTTTTAAACATTATATTTATTTTCCCTTTCACTAAAAAAAAATAGCTTAATGAAGGAGATGAAGATTTTAAAGAAAAAAAAACCAGTTTTGTTTAAGCTTTAAACTGTATGCGTAATTTCAAGTGACCCACCATGTAAAGCTGGTAAAATGCCTTGTTTACAAAAGTACCCTAAGCTTTGCTTGATCAAGTATGAATTATTTATCCATGTTTCTTTCTTTAAAACGTTCATTTTCATTTGTGGTTTCTCAGCAAAAAAATATTTTCGCATTTCTTGCTTACAATAAGCATGAGAGAAATCATCAGAATAAAACACTTTTAAATTCGGAAAAACGACGGTATTTTCCACATTTACGGTTGCCTTAGTATCTTTTAAAATCGGATATTGACATCTTTGTATGGAGGGTCACTTGAAATTCGCATACAGTCCCTTTAACAGCGTATTTTTTTTTGTAGTGAAGAGAACTCTCTGGATCTGATGGGAAACGGAACTCTAGAGTTCTTTACAGAATCCAGGAATCAACCAACAATCAAGCAAAAACATGAGTATTTTCTCCGCTACGAAAAGATTCAATTTCACTAAAAATTGTCAATTTAAAAAGATTTTTCATTTTTTTGATTCAATAAATTAATTTTTAGCATTATTTTGGTAGTTATAGGTAGTATGAGACAGAAGTAATATGTTTAGTAAGCTAAGAAACCAGTTTAAAAGAGGGTCAAACCCTATTTTTGAAAAAAATGTATTTTTATGTTAAATTGTTTTCTTACCCTGAATGATTGATTGATGGATTGTTGAAGGAAAAACAAAGTTTTCTTCTCCTACACTCAATACTGTATTGATACATTAGTTATGTCGCATAACTTCAGGTCAGTTATAATTTAAACTTATGTAAAGAGAATTTAAATACTTCTTTTTAATTTTAATTCGTTTTGGGTACAGATCATACAAATAAAATTCTATTTTAATTATACTTGTCCTCCTCCTTTTGTTGACACTCCACTCCGGCAATTTGTAAAAAAAAGTTTATTACGCGGAAACCTGTTATTTCAAAATATTTTAAATTTGATTTAGTGTAAGGTGTTGTATTTGTCAACTCCATTTGATAAATTTTACAACTTGTAAAAGTTGAGCTACAGGGAAATTTAAGTAAAAAGTACGGCGATTAAATGCGAAAAAATTTGTGAATATTAACATTTAAAACATTTAATATTACTTTGCCAGAACATTTCAAATATGTTAATTTTAGACCCAAGGCTCAGTTATAATTAATTTTAGTTTGTTTGAGATTGTTAATCGATTAACAAATTTTAATCAATAAGAGATAAATCAATTTTACTACCAATTGATCAATTTTACTACCAATAAATCAATTTGACTACCAATAAATCAATTTTACTACCAATTGATCAATTTCACTACAAATTGATCAATTTCACTACCAATAAATCAATTTGAATACCAATAAATCAATTTGACTACCAATAATTCGGTTTGACTACCAATTTATCAATTTGACTACCAATAATTCGGTTTGACTACCAATTGATCAATTTGACTACCAATTGATCAATTCGACTACCAATTTTTCAATTTGACTACCAATTGATCAATTCGACTACCAATTGATCAATTTGACTACCAATTGATCAATTTCACTACCAATAAATCAATTTGAATACCAAAAATTCGGTTTGACTACCAATTGATCAATTTGACTACCAATTGATCAATTTGACTACCAATAAATCAGTTTACAAGATAAAAATCGATCAATTTATATAATCTTGTTTTCAGCCTGAGCAATATAGACGAGGGAGATGTATCTGAGTTTGCGTATATATGTTTAGATGTCTCAAAATCAATCAGGAATATATTTTATTCAAAAACTAAATTTTACTATTTTAGTTAGGTGACCCTTTATTTATATGTGAACCTTTTTCGGATCAAGGATGAATGATTTTTTTGAGCTGAAAATTTAGACCTTAAAAAGTTTATGAAAATATTTGTTTCTGCAGTTCAGAGTCAGAGACATGGGGCTCGGGAGAGTTATATAGGCAGGGTTAAAAGGGATACTTAAGGGGGGGAGGTACAGACTCACGGTCAGGGTAAACAACAGCACCATTTAGTTGCAGAGCTAAATCATTCAAATGTCCGATAAAAACTGCCAAAAATTTCGAAGTAAATTAATACAAAAAGGAAATAAAAGAACTAGTGTTCTCAATAATAAAATTTAGAGTGAGAAGTAAAATTTTCTGCTCCAATTAAAGATAAAAAGCAGAACTATTGTTTTGAACAGGTGCAGGTACAGGTTACCATACTGAAATGTATACAATGTGATGCAATTAACTTTAGTATATTTAGTATGGGTTGCCTCATTCTCACCTTCCTTCTCTACTCTCTTCTTCCTCAACTACGGTAAATAGCTTCAATCAATCAATCAATTAATCAGTAATCAACAATCAATCAATAAAGTACTCAATCAATCAATCAACCAATCAATTAATCAACAATCAATCAATAAATTACTCAAGCAATCAATGAATTAATCAGCCAATCAATGAACTAATAAATTCAATAAATTAATCAATAAATTAATCAAACAATCAAATCCAAAAAACAATAGAGATCAGTTTTCTGTTTGCAAAAAAAAATAAATATAATATTTAATCTTTACATTTCTTTTCAATGTGATGAATCTTAATTTCACACAACATATTTCATAGGATTTTTAATTGATAACATCCACTGAATATTCAAAATACCAAAACATATTTAAATCAAACTTGATCTTACCTTTAATAAATGACCTATATTGTCCACTGTCCAGAGATTTGACCGGAAGATTTATTCTCTCAATCTGCGCCTTCCTCACAGCTAGTTACTCGCTCAGGTTAGAACCTATAACCTAGACGCTAGTTACGCGCTCAGGTTAGAACCTAGAATCTAGACGCTAATTGCGCGCTCAGGCTCAGGTTACAACCTAGAACCTAGACGCTAGTTACGCGCTCAGGTTAGAACCTAGAATCTAGAAAATTTAATTAATAATAAAATTCATTAAAAAGTATCTGGTACCCAGTATCTATAGTATAATAACCAGTATGCATTACGAAGTATCTGGTATTCAGTAATTTGTATGATATACAGTATCCATTACAAAGTATCTGGTATCCAGTATCTACTGCATATTATCTGGTATCCAGTATCTAGTAAAATATCCAGTATCTATTACAAAGTATCTGATATCTAGTATCCAGTATGATATCTAGTATTCATTACAAAGTATCTGGTATCCAGTATCTAGTATAATATCCAACAAAGTATCTGGTATCTAGTTTCTAGTATCTAGTATAATATCCAGTATCCATTACAAAGTATAATATCGAGTATCTATCACAAAGTATCTGGTATCCAGTATCCATCACAAAGTATCTGGTATCCAGTATCCATCACAAAGTATCTGGTATCCAGTATCCATCACAAAGTATCTGGTATCTGGTATCTAGATATATCTGGTTCCTGTTTTATCAAGTTCGGATCTAGAATTAATTTCCGGAACTAAAGAATACCGCATTGTTATATATCCATGTTGTCTTAAAAACATTAAAAATCTATCCTTGTTTAAAACAATAATGCGTTGTTTAAAAAGTAAAATTCATTCGTGGAGTAACAAGTGCCATAAAGTGGGGTTGAAAAAAAACTATTATGAATTTTTGTTTTCATTAATAAATAATAAAAAGAAATTCTTTTACAATCATGGATTAGAGGTAAAATTTTAGATGTTTCTATGTCTAGGTTGGTTAATATCTTTGTCTAGGTTGGATGATATCTATTTCTAGGTTGGTTAATATCTATTCTAGGTTAAATGATATTTATGTCTAGGTTGGTTAATATCTATTTTAGGTTAAATGATATTTATGTCTAGGTTGGTTGATATATATTTCTAGCTTAAATGATATTTATGTCTAGGTTGGTTGATATATATTTCTAGCTTAAATGATATTTATGTCTAGGTTGGTTGATATATATTTCTAGGTTAAATGATATTTATGTCTAGGTTGGTTGATATATATTTATGGGTTAAATGATATTTATGTCTATGTTGGTTGATATATATTTCTAGGTTAAATGATATTTATGTCTAGGTTGGTTGATATATATTTCTAGGTTAAATTATATTTATGTCTAGGTTGGTTTTCATGTCTGGAAGGTTATCATGTCCAAATCAGTGTTTACAAGGTTGGAGATTATAAATCTGTATAATAAAGCTTTTCGCTCATATATTTAATTAAATATAATATAAATAAAATTCGGTGATGGAAATGGACCAAACCTCTGTGAGTAAAAAACAAGTAGATGTTAGTTCCACATTTATTGAAGATATATTTCGGTCTGGGTTGACCCTTTTCAGTTCTTGAGATTGGTCTCTGTCAGGAAGGTTAAAAACAAACAATGTATTTGTTATGTTAGCTATAGCTGGCAAAACAGCTGGACCAATTTGGCTGAAATTTTTGAAGGAAATCTATAGGTGTCCCGGGGGTAACATAGGTTATATAAAAACGATTTTTTTTTCAAGATGGAATTTTTTCCCAAATTTTTTTCCCAATTATTTTTCCGATTTTCTTTTAATTCCGTGGGCAACGACATCCACTTGAGCTAGTAATTATTTAAGCATGCAAGTACCAGCTAATGCCAATTCAACTTTTAGAAAATATATTAAATAGTTGGTATAAACATAATGAATGTCATGTTTTGCTCAATGTCTCGTATTTTTAAATTTTTGCTCAAATTCTTATTTTTGGTTTACTTGCAAGGACTTCTTCTTAAGTCAAAGGAACTGAGTACTTGTCAGAAACTCAAATATTTTCTACTCTCTGATGGTGTAAACCTTTAATATTTGGAAAGATATAAAAATAAAAATTCTGAGTGTTTAGCAAGAATTCGTTTTCCTTATGTATTTATATCTCTTTCTTGAGGTTTGCTTGAAAGCACTTCTGTAGTCAAATCTATTTATTTATACTGGTTTGTTTTTAGGGTAACAGACGGGCAAAGATGTTGTTACTATTCTATTTATGTTGTTACAACAGCATGTGTTCTTATAAGTATTGCTATTACGCTTCATTTCACAGGTAACTCGCAACTCATTAATTTCAAGTGAATAAACTTTTCAAAAAAACTATTTTAGTTGAAGAGGAACCTATCCCAAGAAGTCAAATAGGATATCTAACATTGGGTAAGAATTTAGGAAATTACATTTTTTCTTAACTTATAACTACTTTGAAATTATGTAACTGAATTTGCCATTAACTCAATTTGTTTAATTTCTATATCTTCCCAACTTTAACGTGTAACCTTTTATATTTCAAACTTCATAGTAGTTAGAAATATCTAAGGTCTACAGCATAAGATTTCAAAGATATAGTTATCGGAAAATTAGAGTTTGTGTCAAAGACTCAAATCCTTAAAAAAAAAGATGTATATAGTGTACTAGCTTGGGAACCCAGTTTTTCCTGGAATTTTCCCCTTTAACTTTTAAACCGTGGTTCTACAGAATTCCCAAGTCAAAATTTGAGGCAAATCGGTTCAGGGCTTCCTGAGTTATGATCAGAAATAAAAACGAACAAACAGAGATTATTACTGTATATACATATATAGATTATGTCTATTTACGAGCTAATATTATGAGTTTATATATTTTGAAATATTAATATTTTTTTTAAATTTTGTACTTATTGTAGGTATATTTTATTTACCTGTTGGACTTCTCCTGCTGATAAACATGTACTTCTACTGGAACTGTACACGACAGATTGGTAAACAGCTTGTGTACAACAGATCTATGCAGCACTTTCAGGTACATTGTACTGTACTACATTGCTTTACAAACACTACCTAGGAACCCATTGCATAATTTGATAATTTACAATATATACACATGTAATGTTTAAGCAAATTCATTCAAAGGCACAATGATGGTGGCCTGGCCTCTAAATTCCTTAACACTCCCAAAATGAATATATGTATATATATATATCTCTTTGTTTAGGTGAATTTCGACCTGTTCAGTAAACTACTGATGGTTCTAGCTTCTTGTTGTTTGTTCCAAACTCTTGGGTTTCTTGATATTGTTGCGCTCTACTATATAGGAATGGTCTTCACTATTCTACAAGGTATATAATACATTGCTTCCTCAAATAGTGATGTTCTCTCAGTTGGTTCGTGTTTTGGGGCCGTTTTTTGCATAGTGAAAATGTTTAGAATAAAAAGTTTTTTAAACATTTTTGTTTGTTTGACCCTACCACAAGATCTATGCAAAAAAAAACGATGCAACAACGCACACGTTGTGCAGTGACTATGTTTTCGGATCGTATTTCCATAGTTTTTAGCAGTGCTTGGAATCTATTTAATTTTGATGCGGATCCGGATCCGGATCCTGGATCCGCACTGGAAAAAAAAATGCTTCCGGATCCAGGTTATTTTCATAAAATTTACTGAAAAAATCAGGAAATTTTTATAATCTCTACTTGACCCTATATAAATTCGGTTTAAAATGTTACAATCCACCAAAGAAGAAGAAAAATCTACGATATAAATAATAGAAAAAATGGTTGCAGTCAATGTAACCCAGAAAGCATTTTACAAATTTTTCATTAAGTTGGTGTGATATTTTAGATTTTTGGAAGAACAGATTTAAGCATAAAAATTAAATTTCCTGACTTTATGATAATAATATTTAAAATATATTTTTTGTATATATTTAGGTCCCCTTGTATTTTTGGTTTCCATGTTTAGAACGAGGGTTGCATATCTTTTCAAAAAATATTTCTGCAAGGTAAAATAATTTTGTTTTAAATCTGTATTCTGAGATACAGAGATAAAAACACAGATAGAGAGAATGCAAAGAGGCAAAAACAAGAGAGACCAATGAACGGGCTACAGATAAAGCAGAAGTGTATATTTTCTTGAATAATCCCTTTTTCCCCTGCCCCTTCTTTTGAAAATAATTTTTCCCCTAGAAGTTAAGTAATTGGTATGTTTATAATTTTTTCATTTAATAAGGAAAAATGAATAAATTATTAAATAAAAAGTATGAAAAAGGATGAAAAACTTGCATTTTGATGGCTAATTTTTAATTTTTTCCAAGTTCTTCAAAAATTAGTCTTTTCCAGGGGATGGGGAAATTCTTAAAAATATACACCCCTGAGTAAATTTGATTTTGATAGATAAATAATCAAAATAAAATAAAAATGTAGATATTACAAAAGTCAAAAAACAAACAAACAAAAAATATAAAAGATTATGATTGATTTAACAGAATAAAAAAGATCGAATAGATCGGAAGTATTTTGTGAGATCAAGAGAGACAAAATAGTGAGATTGAGTGAGATCAAGAGAGAGAAATATTGAGAGTACGTGGGATTAAGAGAGACAAAATAGTGAGATTGAGTGAGATCAAGAGAGAGAAATAATGAGATTAAGTGAGATTAAGAGAGAAAAAATAGTGAGATTTAGAAAGATTAAGAAATATTGAGAAATATATGGAGATATTTTAAGAGAAAGAGAAATATTAAGAGATATGAAGACAGGTATTAACAATATTTAGAAAGAATTTAAGAGAGATAATAATTTAGTTTAAGAGAATTATTAAGAGATTTAAAGTGAGATAGTAATAGATAAAAAGAGAGATATTAAGTTAGATCAAGAGAGTTATTAAGAGATTTAAAGTAAGATATTAAAAGATAAAAAGAGAGATTTAATTTAGATTTAAAAGAGATATTTTTTCAGACTTGGAGATATTAAGTTAGATAAAGAGAGATATTATGTGAGACAAGGAGATTTCAAAATAGATGAAGAGAGATAATATGAGAGTCCTGGAGATATTAATTTAGATGAAGAGAGATATTATGAGAGACCTGGAGATATTAATTTAGATGAAGATATATATTATGAGAGAAGATATCAAGTTAGATGAAGAGAGATATATGTTAAGGAGAACAGTTGTGTCTGCTGCTGTGGAGGAAATGGAGATTTTATAGAACTTGCCAGCACTGAACTATCTACTATTGATAAACTTAGGTAAGATTTATGTCTTAGTTCCTACTTGGATTTCCAACGCAAGTGGATTTTACTTGCGCGCAATTGCAAGCCCTGTAAACTTCGCACAATTTTGCACAATTCAAGAACACTTGTGCCCAATTAAAATTAAAATTAAAATTTTTGTTTCAGTTTAAAAGAAATTAGAAAAAATCCTTTACCCCAAAATTAGGCATTCAGCCATTGAGTTTCCTTTTTAAAATCAAAATAAATGTATGAATTATTTTCTAGGTTTTAATTTATTTTTTGTATATTTATTATAGAGAAAAGGTTGAGAACGATGATGTAGAAGTGAATAAAAGTCTTTTAGACAGGTAAATAATATAATATTTCATCAACTTACATCTGTACAATCGTACATGAGAATTTTAGACAGGTAAATAATACAATTATACAACAATTTACATCTGTACAATCGTACATGAGAATTTTAGAATGCATGTACATAACTCATTCTGTCAATTGCCTACCTTAACCTTGTCTTATAAAGTCCCTTTTGCACAGAAACTGGATTAATAAATATCAATTTTAGCAAAGAAAAGAATGATGTGTTTATAATTCTAAAAGTTATAAAGAGTAACGTCTAACTCTGAATGTGTTTGTGGAATATAACCATGTTTAAACGACAAATTTAATAAATGGCAGATAGGATCCATGATACTTGGCATTATCGACTTAAATAGGTTTGTAGAAATATTATATGGACCAGAGATGTTTTTGTTTTTTTAATTTGCTAACAGCATCATTTATAATATCAGGGGTCATATTTGCAAAAACAAAGTTTCCATCAGTTTTTTCTAAAAGATAATCAGAGAAATTTTTTGTTGAGTTTGGGATATTTTTGGCTAGTTCAGGACCTATACCAGGGAAAAACTTATTGAAACCTTCAGATATTAAAGCTGCTCCTGTTCACAAAGGTATCAGGGATATTTAAGCTGCTCCTGTTCACAAAGGTATCAGGGATATTTAAGCTGCTCCTGTTCACAAAGGTATCAGGAATATTTAAGCTGCTCCTGTTCACAAAGGTATCAGGGATATTTATGGATTTGCACTCCCTACCTAAATCAGTATTTATTGTTTGCCAAGTTTTTTTTACAATCTCTTCTAAGTTCTTTAAACTTGTCATCATAATATTTTTTTCTTGCAATCCTCACTAAGCGGGTATATACTTGTATTGAGTGGAATCAGTTTCAGGTTTCCTTTCAATAAGACCCAGAGAACAAGTTTTGTCGATGGGTCTTTATAAATGTTTATTTTCAATCTTCTCATTTACACGATACACTCGTCTAAAGCACATAACTGAAATATACAAAATAGTTATGTGAGCTGAACAAAAGGAATAATACTCGAAAGAGGGAAAGGCAAGTTGGCAAGGAAAACACTCTTTTCTACCAGACACAGATAGATGATAACTTCTTGA